ATTAAGTCTCATATTTTCAATAATAATTCATGTATTTGTCATTTGGCAGAAGAAGTTTAGAAATAATGTGAAGATTTGGGAGTCATATAATGTATCAGCTTAAAACCTCCACCCTTGTGATAGTAATTCTAAAATCGGTGTCTAGCCCTTCTTCCATGTGGCCATAGGTTACTTGCGGAAATTCCTAGGTGTGCCCACTTGTGCCGACAAATAGGGCCATCAGATATTGTCACCACATGGCATCCACTCCACTCTGCTCTGCCTTTGGTCCCAAAGTGTCCGTACCTGTTGGACCGGAAGCCACTTGGAAGAGTGCTTCTTCTGCCACCTCCCAGGATGAGAAAAGCAACGCTCGTGACAAAGTCATGGAACTTGCCACCTTTGGGATATCAGAGTCATGCTAGCTCCTGTGCAAGGCAGAAAGAATAGCTTTCTTCATAATTCTGGGCCACATTTGACCACTGAGCTCATGAGCCTCTGGCCTCCCAGTTTCATAAGCTTATGATTATCCGCTTCATGGAAAAGGGCAGGAAACACACAGTCCACCATCCCCTGCAAACCCTTCTGCCAAGCCCTCCCCGAAATTCCTATTTTTCTAGTTAGCAAATGACAACCAGCAACCATGAAATTCCAATATATAACAACAGGAGCCAAAAGATGAGTTTAATGGCATGGGGAGGAGAAGGAAGAAAGAAGAGTGCTGTATTTAGTAGCAAAAATTGAGGTACCATTTCCTTCCAACCCCATATGCTCTGTTTCAAAATACTTTGAACAGGATGAAATATAACATCATGATGGATGGAAAAGGAGTTAATTTCTCCCTAGTAAATACGGGGGGGGAGGGAAGTGGGGGTTCAAAAGAATGAGGAAGAAAAATAAATTAGGAAACAACACCTTAAAAGCTCCTGCACCTAAGAAAACAGTGACTGACAGGGACTCCCGACACTTACCCATTGAGGGTCTGCCTCCTGCACCTTGTACCTTGTTCTCGGTCTCTAGAGAGTTTTGCCACTGGCATCACCTTTTATGCTCCTGTGGCAGTTCGCTGTGTCCCTCAGACCTAGGCTATCCTATCCGTCTGCTGTGTGGAGATGCGGCTGTGTCTGCCCTCACGTCTGCCTGCTCCTCCTGCTCCAGACACGTCTTCTTCGCCTGTGGGGCCTGGACTCCAATGGTCCCAAGCCAGACCCAGGCCCTAACAAGCCTCCTAATCTTGAGTTGGGATCCGGTCATTCCCAGTCGTGTACTGGGAGTGAGAACAATTCTTTTGGAGGAGAGCTTTACAATATGACGCTTAAAAGAAAATGGTGTTCTGGAGATCATTGGTGGTGAACCTGGCGTGACACGGAACCGTACATGTAACAATGGTTAAAAGATTCTCTACCGATTACAATGAGTTCACTCTGTCAATTTAGGAAGTTTACAATGAAAGTCGTGAACATTAACATAGCTTTAAAGATTTTCTTTTTGGTAACTGCATAAGGAATAAGAAAAGAGACATAAAAAGTAGAATGAGAAATAGACAAGCATTTGCAAAATTCTTCAAAATTATGAAATGAACTGGGTCAAATGTACATCCAGTTCCTTTGCAGCGCACCCTTGGGTCCGCAGAGGCAACTTCTATTTTTATCGGTATGAGTGCAAGCATTTCTTCCTGTCGGTGCAGGCCGACTGCCTGTCAAGAGGGAGAAAAGTTGCAGAAACAAAACCAGGCTTTGTGCATCACTCACAAGGGCTGGTTTGTTTTTGAAAGAATGTCAAGGAAGTGAGGAATCTTAAAACTGATTTTAGAAAGTTTTTAGTTAAGCCTTCTCCTAGCACTGAGGCCCCCACTTCAAGCAAACACACCTATAATTCCTATTAACGTTGATGAGTCTCTGAGGAAAGGAGGATTTCAGATCCTTTACAAAAATCACAGGGTCCACATGATTCTCGGCTTATTCAAAGGCCTTGCTTCCAGTGGCCAAATACAAATTCTTCATTTACCGCAAACCCCAGAATGTGGGAAGAAGATAGCTGAGTCAACAGGAAATAAAGGAGACAACTCTCAAACTCTGTGTAGAGAATTAAATGCTGCTGTTCCCACATACAAGACGTAGACGAACCCTTGCTTTTAGGAGCTGGAGACGGCCGAGCTTCTGTGAAGCTTGGGGAGAGCACAGAGACACTTGTGGGGCACTGTGAAAGGAGTTATTTTCTGGGAGTAACATATAAAATACTCCCCCAGCATACTAAGTGCACCAACCTCTGTGAATTAGGAACACTGGTGTGCATGTTGGTTTCTCATACATACAAATTTCAGTCAAAGAGGTAATACTCACCTTCCAATCAAACAAACAACCTCACCTTGAAGCTCTATCTGAGGTTCCGCAGGCCCTTTAAGGGCAGCTCACTATCACTCTCACATCTCTGGGAAATGCTACAAAATTGATATTCTGTATAGATTCAGACAGAAAACTGCAGAGGTTAAATTATTTACCCAAGGTCAGCGGAGTCTGTTTCCCCCAGGGCAAAGCAAAGTGGTTACAAGTTTTCAAGAGATCCACACAAATGCTATGTTGTTCTGGAAGCCCGTCCTATGGAGAAGAATTCAGTTCCCAATCTTGGGAGTTAAATTCCATCACTGCTCCAACGAGGCACTTTACCAAGTTAGATTCTTCCTTTTGCTGAGCTCCTCCTGCCTGACTGCATTTTAGAAGGTTCTACAAGAAGAATGCCCACTTCCCCACCGTGCCTCACTGGCTATGTCTGAAATTCATCCTTCGTTTCTTTCCTTAGCTTAATTTTTAAAACTGTTGCAGCCTTCCACTAACCTAATATAAACGATAACTTATCAGAAAAGTGTTTGACAGTGTCATCCTGCAGCATAGTGACTGCAGGCAAGGAAATAAGGCAAGATGAGTGCTAAAGACAAGTGACATCTGTGCCACGTGTTATTATAATAATAGTCTTAATTATGAGACATGGACGAAGAGGAGAATCCTAGCATGTAATTCACCAAGCATGTTCAGGAAAAGGCAGTTCGCATTTAGGTAACCCACCTCCTGACTGTGCTTAAGCCAATTAATAAGGAGAATCAGATTAGGAACATTTTTCTTCTCACCCAGGTATTGAATGATGAAAGGTGAGTACCCTAGGGTGTCCTTCAGTGGTGCAGCGAGACGCATGCTCCCGCAACACGCCAGAACCTTAAAAGTTGCTTTAGAAGCTAAGTATGTGAGGTCTGTCAGATTCTAATATTTATCTATTCATTTAACGATTACTTATTTAGTTCCTATAATATGCAATATGAATTTACATAGCTTTTGATGTTCCAAAGAGTAACTGATTTAAAAAAAATTATTCTGAAAAGGTTCTATGCCTTTTATGCTCACAGGTCTTTTAAGTATCTGGTAAAACGAACTTCTGTTTCTGCTGGGGTAGAAAGATGCTCAATTCCAAGGGTAGAGTAGCGTTCTGCCATAATATCCTAGTTGCCATCTCTAAATGTGACAGAAATTTATATTATAACATACATGCAGTAAATCTCCGGAGCTATCCTAGGCTCTTCCCATTGCTCCTGTCGGTGGCTACCTGTTGCCTTCCAACAGCCAGCTGCACCCACATGTAGGGCACACCCATGTGAGTGCAGGTGGTTGGCTGAAGGGGGGGCGGAGCCTTACAGCGGACTTGGAAAGACACTAACCCTTTTAGAATGTTGGGACCTCAATACCCATCCCCAGAGAGAAAATGTTATATACTTTACTTTTTTCAGGGTCCAGACTATGAGTGTAAACCCCCAAAACCTGGAATTTATTTATTCAAAAAATATGTATTTATTTGTACATGCTTAAACTTCAGTCATCTTCAAAGTACTCTCCCTTTGGTGCAATATACCTATTGAGCCAGTTTTTTTCCTACTGCTCAAACCAGTTTTTGAACTCGTCGATTTTGATACCCTTTAGTGCTTTTGCCATTTTTTGTTTCATCTCTTCTACATCAGCAACACATTTCCCTTTGAGGACTTTTTAATCCAGTGAAACACACACAAAAAAGTCCCTTTGGGGAAGATGGGGTGAATAGGGAGGGTAGGGCATGGGGTTCATGCTGTTTCTGGTCAAAAACTGCTCCATGCTCAGCGTGGTGAGGCACGTGGGCTTGTAAACCACCCATCATAGAATAGGCAAACGCATTGAGTCTTTAAAAAAATTTTCACTGAAGCTGCATGCAGCCTCTCACAACAAAGCCCGCTGATACACTGGTACAGATGGGCTCCTAGAACACTCACCTAGTGAGGAAGCTTGTGCTACAAGAGGCCCACCCTTCAGAAGATAATTCTGGAGTTTTTGGGGGTCCCCCTTCATAAGTTGCGGGCAGAACTCTTTTCAAGTTTCAAAAGAAAGGCAAGCCAAAATGTGCCGGCATAACACCAAGCCTCTGTAACCCGTCCAGACTGTGGGCACGAAGACACAGCGAAGGGGGCCCAGAAAAGGCGGGACCGAGAGTCCGTGAGACTGGAGCCAAGCTAACCAGACTTTTCTCCCAAGTCTGCACGGTCTGGCCTACCTTGACACCCTATATGTAAGTTAACAGGATACTACGCAAATGGAAAGAAGTTTATAATATCCTGGTTTCATTCCTTTAAACAGAGGTGAGGATATTATCTATGCAAAATTATAGATCACATTAGATTTATAAGATGGTGTGCCAGATATTATTCACAATTAATTTAAATATCTTTGTCTGTGACCACTAGAAACTTTAAATGTGATACGTAAGCAAAATAAATAATTCTTGATTTTAAAGTACCAACACTGTATCTATATTATGAAAGCTGAATTCAGAAATGCCATTGTAATGACTAAATCATGTTTATCAAGTGGATGATTATATAGAAATAGATCATGCAGACAAGGACACATTTATAATGAAGCTAAAAATGGTTCATCCAATGGTATACGCAGGCAACCCAGGATTAATGAACTTCTGTGTGAACATTCATACCATTAGAAAAAAGCCCCGGCCTCCCAGTGCTTACACAGGCTGCATTCTGACGGCCAGCACAGAAAGAGGCCGCGGAGAAAACCACCCGGGTGCACCGCAGCCCGGGCCCTCTGCCTGGTCTGTACTGTGAGTGGGGGGACGTGGAAGAAGAAGAGAAAGAAAAGAAAGAAAAAAATAAACAAAAAATAAAAAAAAAAAATTTGGGCGGAAAGGCAGGTGAGACCAGCGTCCTGGTCCTCATTCCCTTACCCTCTGCGGCCTCTGCGCTCGAGGGTGCGGTTTTGTTTCGCCCACTGTGGAGTCGTGTTACCCTGCCTTCAAAATCTTACCCTAAATTTGCCACCAAAAATAAATAAATAAATTCGGGGAGTTGTGCAAGGGAAGGGGAAGGAAGGCGCCCCTGAATCAGAGACGTCGCAGCACGCGGCAACGTGTGCCACTGTGACGCCTCAGTTAACGCGCAGGGAGCAGCCGCGCGCTGGTGGGAGCAGAGTGCCGCGTGCCAGAGCCTCCCTTTGTTGTCGTCTCACTGCGCCATGAGGGAGTCTGTTCCTCTGGACTGTCCTCTCGCTCTTCCACAGCAAATGTGGGTGCCGTGGACTGCCGGGAAGAGGAGGCTCTCTTTTTCTGCCGCCTTTTCTCCTCAATGGGGTGACGCCGGCTGAAATGGAGCAAAGGCTAAGCGGTGCTGGAGGGCGCGTCAGTCTGGGGGCGCCCTAACCCACCCAATCCTGCCCTTGCACACCCTTTGGGAGGTGACTAGGAGGTGTGCACCCCGGCGACAGCACCATCCCAGGCAACGCCCGCTGCTGCAGTTGGCCTTTGCTTGCTCACATCCAGGGCGAGGGCCCCTTTGAGGGACAATGAAAGATGAGCTTCCGCGGACACACAGGACCTCCGGGCTTGGCCTGTGGCCTCTCCCTGGACGGGGCCAGGCTCGGAGTCGGGCGGTGGAAACATTCAGTCGCGCGACCCTGCCGAGCCCCCGCCGCAGGGGCCGGCCTCAGCCCCCTCTTCCTCCCTTTCTGACTCTCACTGCTCTGTCACCCTTTGTTCATTTCCTATATTTCCACTCAGATGTGGTTTAGGGTTTTCTTTCCAAGGCATATTTTGCATGGAAGAATGCTTTCAGTGAGCTGAGGCCCTAATTGCCAAATAACGGTTGCCAAAACATGTTATTTTGGCTTCAAGCTGGTACAGAGCAGAAGGCGGTTTCCCTTCATGAAAAAAAAAAAAAAAAAAGTCCTGCTTCAGCAGCCCCAGGGCCATTTGCAAACACAAGGGACTCAGGCCTCCACCCCGCTCGCCCCAGCGCCCATGCCCCTCCTCTGGTGGGTCACTTTCTCACTCGGTGAGAGGCCTCATGGCCCGGTCCCCTGGGTCGGTGGCAGCTTTGGAGAGGCGGCATCTGCTGCACCACCAGGGGGGCTCCCGCCCCACACTGCACAGACCGGTCTGCCAGCTCGCTGCAAACCCCAGCCGCCAGGCTAGCACGGGAATTCCAAATAGAGACAAATCTGGGGCCCCGGGGGGAAGCGGGATGGAACTGATCAGTAGAGATATATCACTGCTAATTAAGTCCTGATCCCCTGGCTCTACTTGAAACAAATCAGGGAGGGATCAGGTTTTGAGAGCAGGTGCTAACTGGTTGCAAAAGACAAGTTCATCACTTCAGGAAAAGGCTTTGCAGGTAGCTAGCTCTACGGGGACACAGCCGAGCAGGTCCAAAGCTTTGCTGAGAAAGTTCATTCCTGGACAGAGCCACAGGTGTCCAGGACACCAGAGGCGTGTGAACACCCTCTCTTCTTGAGCACATGACTATTGTCCTGCCCTCTGTTTTCCCCCCTCCATAGCTGACTGACTTTCTCTTCAGGTGGACAATGGCATAGTGTAGAAGTAAGTAAACACGCTTCCGGAGACGCCAGCAGTAGTTCTCCTGGGCACAGACTAGACAGTCTTTGGTGGGGTTCAAAATGCTAGTACACAGTGGGCCTTGCACAACCTCCTACCCTACTTCTTTTCCAGATGGTTTAAGAAAAAACAGGACACAAATGAGTAAATAAACTTAATTGCAAGTATTTACTTGAATACAGTCTGAGAGCTGAATGCGTATTGCGTGTGTGAAGAGGAAATAAGTTTGAATGTTAGTGACCCTGTCTGACACTTTCTCCTTCAGAAACTGCCTCTGCTCTAGAAATCCTGACTAACGTTTAATATCATAACTAACGTGGACTAGGCCTCTGTGTGCCAGGGGCTCAGCCAAGTGTTTTACACGCATTATCATTTCATCTTTGCAATGACCCTACGAGGTAGGTATGGCTTAAATAACACATCTATTAAGTGACAAACTGAAGATTTGAATTTCACCAGAGCCCGTATTTTTAAATGCAATGCTATCCTGCCTCTTAGCTTTGCCAACTTCGGATCCTGCACAGAAAACAGAAAAATACATTGCGTACTGTAGTTGCCCAACAATGCCATAAATGAATGAATAAATGAGTCTCAGGTAGTAATAAGGTTTAGCCCCAGGTTCCTATTAAAATAGTAATCTGGGAAATTGTTCTAATATATGTTAAGTCTAGGAGTCTGGAGGTCTCCGATTTGGGGGCCAGTATTTGTACTGGATTTGAAAACTTATTCTGAGGGTCTTCCTTTGATCCGTGTGGAGAGTGTTCTTAGTCCTGACAGTACTGGACCTACTCTTGGCACCTTTGATGAGGCAAGTTGGCTGCCGTTGTTGGCTATGACTCCAGGAATCATTATCAACACAATTTCTTTTTTCTTATGACATGTAATCCCTTCCCTAGCCTCACACCCCAACCTTCCTAGTACTCTTAATGTGGGGAGCCTGCTGCTTTGAGTCACTGCATCCAACCCTGGAGCACAGGCTGTCTCTGGAAGGTTTTCTGTGTTTATTGCTCTATTTATTAGTTTTATAGCAACAGAGCTGAGGGCGTCTTTGGTGCATTTCTTTGGTTGTGCATATCATTCAGACCCATACAAAGAGTAGTCTGGATTCTTGTTGGCACCTGAACTGACTTGAAAGCCAATTGAAAGGTAAAGCGTGGATGTGCACGAGTGTGAGGCACATTGTCATATGAATGTTCATGAGAGGAGAAAGCGATGCCACGTGAAGGTGCCTGGAGATGAGAAGGGGCTGAGCTCAGTGGGTAAGGCACACAACTGAAAATGCCAAGGGAAGTTTTAACGGCTGGATTTAACTCGATGGGGGTGAGCAGGCCCTGGTCCCATTTCCTTCTGGCTCTCCCACCAACTCTAGTTCCTCCTGGGTAGCTTACAGTCTCCGGTTCTACTTCACTGTGGCCATGATGAAAAAGAGGGCTGTTCGTCCGCACATTTTTGGGCCAGAAAGTTTCATTAAAAGATGTCACATAAGGAGAGGGTGAATGACTAAGAAAACTCCAGATCTGTGCACTCCCACCCACCCCTATCCAAGACTTTCTGGAGTGCAAATTTGCCCATAAAGCTGGCTGATCTGTCTGCTGTGGGGCTCTCTCGCTTTCACCCATGTGGGGCCTTGTCCACACAAACAGTTCCCCAGCTCCTTAGAACTGTGACCTTTAAAGTTGGCCTGAGGAATGTGGGAGAGCGGCACATTTTACAAAACTGATGTAAGATTTGTTTAGAACATCAGAAAAAAACTGGAGGTGGGGGGTCGTTACATTGAATTTTTACAAGAGGCCCATTCAACAACACAGGATATGGCGAAAATAAAACAGGATTGGGTGGGATGCATGTTTGGGTTCTCAGGGGGCTGAAATCAAAGAGGTATGCAAACTATTCTGCATAAACCCCTGCCATCCGCTCTGATAAACAAGATTACGGACTTGAAAGGTCAATTATATATTCCTAAGGAGAAATGCCAGGTTCTTGTCAATGTTCATGCCTGACAGGGTCTGAAAATAGACTTGAGTGAGCTAATCACATTGATGACCACGTACAGCAGTGGAGTAAAAGCTTAATTCAATTTTATTACCTCCTATGAGCAAATATTTGCCTCACAAGACACACCCACTCCCTCCAGAATAGTCTATTGTAAACAACTAGCTCCCCTTTTACAAGAGCTGAAATCTTTATGATGTTTGTGAATGCTGAAACCAAAAGCTAAACAGCTTATTGAAATCGTGTCTTTTAGCCAGAAATCCTCACCAGTTAATCCCCTTCCCCTCTCTTTCTTCCTCACTAACTATAGCCCAGGCATGTTCTAGAAAACTAACATTGGTAAGAGTTGCGTTCATCCTCCCCAGTTTTATTCCTGGGAGTGACTATTGGTGGGTCTTCTAGACTTTCCCGTGTGGTTCCAGCAGACAAGTGTTACTTCCTAGTCCTTATGTGCCTTCATGAAGCCAGAGCTTCATTGCCAAGTCTTAGACCCCCCAGGGGTGCCCAACCATAGCCCATGGGCCACATGCAGCCCAAGATGGCCCAACACAAAATTGTAAATTTACTTAAAACACCATGAGATTTTTTTTTGTGATTCCACGTCCCAATGTATTTAATGCATGACCCAAGACAACTCTTCTTCCAGTGTGGCCCAGAGACTCCAAAAGGCTGGACAGCCCTAAACAGCATCCCTGCCAAGTCTTAAACCTCCAGGAGAAGGAGATGAGAGTTCTTTTTGGTAATTTTGCGACCAGGAATTAAGCCCTACATGATTTAAGTCTGACCGCTTGCATGGCTTGTGGAGATGTAATGAGTGTCTATCCCAAAGTGCCTTACTTATAATCGGGTGGACGATAAGTGGACACCATTGCCTAACTTGTGCAGGTTATGGGACCGTGTGAAGCATTTCTTTAACAGAAATAAACACGTTAAACAAATGAGGTTAAAAAATGAGAGAATAGTGCCTTTCTTCCTCATTAATATGTGGCTGGATGTGTTTGTGTGTGTATTTATGGTAATGCTCACTTACAGAGTTGCATTTGGGGATTATTTCACGTTACTCCCATTGTCAAAACTGACTTAGTGTAAACGGGCTCCTGTGGTTCTGGCCTAACCAGGAATCATCGGTGTTCCAGCTAGCTCTCAAAGTTAGGAAGGCCTAGTCGATTCTTACGTAACTTCTAAAAAACTTGCTGGACTTGTTAATCATGCCTAAATTCTATCAAAGGAAACATTGCTTT